GTAAAGAATTCTGGTTTGATTTTTCCAACTTCATGTTTAGTCGGCACTTTGGTTTGCTTTAAATTTTCTAATCGGATCTGATATGATTTGATTGTTTGATTTGACGTTATTTGTACATCAATGTATAAGAAAAAATATTATAATATAAAATCTTATTTTATTAGTCTCAACACGTATTTTTTTTTCACAGCTACGAAATTAAAGATATACAATTATAAGGTCAAAAGAACAAATCACCCCCAAGTCTTTGGCATCCTTTATGTTACCTAACATATTGGAGGATGATTGTTTTTTTATTTGACTAGTTGGATTAAGGACAAGGTTTTGTTAAATATTCAAATGGGCTTTTTTTTTCTTTGACGACTCAAATGGGCCTTTTACAAACTTCTTTTTATAGAATTGAGTCGAACGGGTTATAATTATAATGGACTTTCTATAGTTTATCATTGTCCATTTGTCCATAGAATAGGATGAAATTCGGTCAATCCTAAATTTCCCTTATCCAAGCATGGCAATCGGTCCAATTCCAGTGTTAAAAGAAAAATAAATAAACAAAAAAAAAAAAAAAAAAAAATCTCAAGTTCTCTGTGTCTCGTAGAAGTCGTAGTACTTACTTCGTAGTTAGCTAATAAAATATGGTATCAACAATCTCAACAATAAGAAAAAGTTCCATCATTAAGTAAAACATAAGTTATTGCAAGGAGTGGATAGCCTACAATTTTGCTTGAGCTTAAGAGGAGAAGACCAGCTATTTGTTTATTTATATTTATTTTTTGTCAATGAGAGTTTGTTAGACAAATAGACAGTATATGTTATATGTAAAGTACTTCATATAAGTTAAATAATTATTGCATTTATGTAATATAAGAAAAAGAGGGTAAACATAACTCCTCAAAACACCTGAATAATGTCATATTGTCATTCTATTCAAACACACGAATAATGTCATATGGAGTGACTTTTATTATCCATGGTGACATTGTTATTTTCTGTCTATGCAGTTGGGTTTACAAAGTTAAAAGATTTTTGTTTATTAATCAATTATTTAAAATTAAGAATTATTAACGATCTTTTCACTCATTTGTGTGTCATTTAATTTTTATAAGAGTTAGAAATAAGTCCCACCTTGACCTCCTATCACAGGAATAACAAGGGTGTTAATACTCATGGAGTCATGAGAAGGGGGTAATAAGCATCGAACTCAGGACAACGCCACGGAATCAAAGCTTGCTCCAACTAAGGCCTAAGCTAAACTTCAAGCTCCGTTTGTGACACATAACACCACATGTAAAAAGATCTCTTTAAACCAATTTCCAATAAAATTGATATCTAACTTTGCTCTTAATTGAGCCGCATCAAAAGTAGGTTCTCATTTCTCCCATGCTATCACAGAGTACCATATGCAAACAGCATATTAATTAGAAGGTTAACGGAGTGATGAAAGCAAGCTTAAAATTCAAAACATCACTTTAACATGGAACAAGTCTTGGAGTCCTCAACACTAGGATAACGACATTTTAAAGCAACAATAACAACACTCACCCACTCATGTGAAAGGAAATACAAGTACTACTATTTCTTATATTAACAAATAAAGGTGAAAGGAAATATTGAGTCAATAACAGAGATAGACCTAATGGTACTTAATAAAAATAAATTACAATAACAAACAAAATATGTTTTCCATAGACCATTTGAATTGGATTGGAATCCAATCAATTCGCCCTGTTTGGTAATTAGCTGTTAGCTAGTTGATAAAACTGATTATGTTAACTGGTTTGACTAGCTAATTATATTACATAATTTGACTAGCTGGTTGTAAATAGTTGATTGTGTAAAAATGTTTGGTAAATAACTGTTTATTATTAGCCGTTTTAGTGTATTTAATACTAAATAAAAACTAATTGTTCAATAATCTAATTTCAAAAAGCTCTTATAAAAGAGCTTTTTGATCCCAAAAAGCTCTTATAAAAGAGCTTTTTGATCCCAAAAAGCTCTTTTTAATAAGCTATTTACCAAACACCAAATTAGCTTTTAAAATGGTCAAACCTCTAATAATGTTCAATAAGCTAAAAGCTTTTAAAAAAGTTCTTTACCAAACAAGGCCATAAAATAATTTAGTTCGAATATCAAATTGGATATAGTTTTCTTATCATGCATGTTATTCTTAAGGGAGTATCAAATAAATTCTCGTTAAATTCAACTTAATGCTTATACAGTTATACCACACAAATAAATATCCTTCGAATAATGTTAAGTAGACTAAACAGGAGTTAGTTTTGAATATAGTTGTAATTTAAGTCCGATAATCAAATACAAGTCAGTTTTGTCAATATAAATTTTCTTTCATCATTTCATTGTCTTTTCTTTTGATGGTGGGTATAGTGAGTATTGGCCTATGATGGGTGAGCAAAGTAGAGCGTTATTAAGCTCATTTCCCAAAAGATTGGCCTCCAGAAAGCAAAACAAAGGGGGCCAAAGCAAGGATTCCCACTTCACCAAAAACCATAAAAAACATCACCAAAAACCATGAAAACCAACACTTTTACGGAGCAAATTGGTATGAATTAGCTCACAAAGCACCAAAGAAGCACAGTTGATTTCTTTCCTTTATTTCTTTTCTAATCCCACCTTTTTCCTCTTTACAAAGTGTTCTTTGACTGATTTCCAAATCTAGTAATTATAGCATAGACCAAAACAGGAGAAACTTTTTAAGCCAATTATTTTTATTTTACCACAGTGCATTATCAAGAACATCTTTGTAACGTCCAGAAACTACTACTGTACTATGTAATGATTGACACTACATGGGTTGCAACTGCTCCGACTTCTGTCATCCCTCTGTGATTGCCTCATTTGAACCCAGAAGATCAAATAACAAATGTTTCAACAAGATACAACATGGAGTTTACATGCAACTCATTCCTTGCAATAAGAAGCAAAAAACTTTGAATATAATAACTCCAATTTCACACAAATATGATAGTATTACCTAGTCAATCCAATACTACAAACAATTCACATAAACAAATATCTGGATCATATGAGTTGCCATCTAGGATCATGGAAGAATACGTGCAAAGGGGGAAAAATAGATGATGGTGAGAAGAAAACTTCAACAAGATACGTTGTATGCACGAGCAATGCCAATCAATCTTCCAATAATAAATTTAAATAACCATACAGCGAAATACGGAAATAAAAAACAATTTAACACATGGATATGAATCTATCAAAACATATAAGATAGTGGCATTATACAAGTATATCATCACTGATTGCTGACTTTGTTTCTAGTTACAATTAAGATTGCACATGCCCCAGAAAGGGCTGAAACCTGTTACCCATGAGTTTTTATTTTTTTTACCATAAACAACCTACCTTAAAACAATACTATAATGCAGTAATGCAATATGACTCCTAGACCTACATGTTCATTGTCTACTGAAGCGTGAAACCATGTCCTTTGCCTAAAGAGAAACCAAAATTACGTGAAAATGAGGTCTGGATGAAGGATGTAAACCCATAGTTAAGAGTTGACAACAAAAACAAGAAAACACTTTAATTTCAGAAAATGGGTGACATCCAGAATGTAAACCAACATATCAAAAGGTCAAAGAATAAGAGCACGTCATCAAGGGCTTCTAAGTTCTACAGAATGCAATGAGGTCACTACTTACCTTCTACCAGGATGCAACAAATGATGCAGAACAACAGACACTAGCAGGATCATAGAGAGTAATGAACACTCATTGAAGAGATCAAGAACCAGCAAATTGACATGTATATCAGACATGAAAATGAAACATAGCTGAAGGCAACTTAGCACAGCCAAAATTTAATGTGTTGTTAACTTCAGCAGTGTCAAGCAACTTCTCACGCTACCAAACACAAAAATAATTAGCAAGGGAGGCAACCCAAGTAATGAATAAGAGAGAACTACACACATGTCCAACAGATTCATAATTGTAAGAAGTTTTTTTTATCCTGCAGCTCACACAACATTGGCAGACAGGAATATTGAGCAAAGGAGAAAGTAACATTAAATCTCTTGATGACAAACTTAAACCTCAAACGTGGGCAGATTGAACGTAATCTCCAGCACAGGACCTAAAATACTGGTAATGATATATTTGCTTTGAAGAAGCTAACTTACAGATGTATGATTGAGAAGAAAATGCATCATGCAGTCATAATTTATAACTAAACATCATGTTCAGCTGTGTTTCATTAATATGTCCTGCATCATAATGGAAGACTACCACCACCTGCTCTGCCTAAAGGTTCCATTGTATCAAAGTGAGGCAGCCACGGAATCTCTGCCTAAACCGGCCAAGAGATTGTTGCTTTTAAAAAATACCTCATAGGCTCCTAGCCATTAAATATGCACCAAAGCAACCAATCATAAGCGAAACTATCCCTCAAAAGGTAAGGGAACAAGAAAATCTAGTAGGGAATTTAGTTACCACCCCATAAGCAATATTGCAAGTAGACATGCAACTAATACCATGTAAAAGAAGAGTTCGACGTAAGCTGATTAAGCACCCACAAAAGTTCCAAGTACCCCTTACAGTAGATCAAGTCAACATTAAAATTACACCACAACGGCCAGATCAGATATTTCACTAACAATAACTTCTTTAAATAACAGGTTAGAACTTGTAATGTATAGTCATGAACACTGATGAACAGCACATCAAAAGATTAACCCATAGACTCAAATTTTCAACACTACCAGATAAGAAAAACAAACGCTGTTTCACCAGATTAATTCTTCAACCATTGACTTAATTCTAAGTCTAACACCATAGAATACATGAAAGTCTAAGTTAACAACAATTATTGATGACTACCACCATATTAACACATGCAATTTCAAAAATTTCACCCAAGAAAAAGCTCTGATTAGTGATTACCAATTACCATAAGTAAACATATGAGAGATATGACTGCTAATTCGAAAACTGAATTGTAAATTCATTATCCAAGAATTCATCACATTTCACCAAAAAAACTGTAGTCAAATTTTCTTTCCATTAACATCTAAATATCAAAGTCTCCTCTTCACTACTCCATTTACATCATCATCCAACATATGCACAATTGCACATCCCTAACTTTAACCAACAAAAACCACAAAACTAAATTCTATCAATTCCTTCTTCATACATTTCTGGGCAATGATCACATGAAATCTATAAATTTATATATAAATTTTATAATGAAATAAAAAATTTCCTAGAAAATTTACCTTCAGCACCTCAAAATTCCTCTCATTTAGGGCTAGGAACACCAGGAACAGTCGGCGAAAACGGAAACCCTAACGGACTATTTCCCGTCGGCGAAAATATCATATTCGGAGGAACAAAAGGGCACGGCGACTTCGGCGACGGCAAAAACCCAAAAGGGGGAAGAACCGTCGTAAAATCCGCCGGCGGCGGAGAAGGAGGTGGCAACATCTGACCCGTCCGATTAAAGGAGGAATCAACGGAGCTATGAAGAAATCTCATGTACGCCGAGATCGGACTCTCAGCTGCCGCGTGGCACGTTGGGAGTGGTGGAAGAGGAGAATGAGGGTTGACCCCACAACTTAGCATCGAAGGAGGACGAGGACTAAGCTGCGCTAATGGCGGCGGTCGGATTCTCTGAAGCCGGGAAGAAGCCGGCTTGGGCGCGTGAATCGGCGGCGGCGCCGGAGCCGCCGCGGCATGAGCTGGTGAGCCGGTAAGTTTTTGAACAACATCGCGGAAATCGCTTTTGTTGATGTTGTAAACTGGGGGTTGTTGTTGTTGTGGTGGGTGAACTGGGGGTAGTAGCGGCGGTTCATGGGGTGGTTTTCTGAACGTTGAAGAATTGGAAGCACCGGAACTTGCTAGGTTAGAAGGTGGGAGGTTTTGGGTACTGGGTTTAGAGATCTTGTGTGATAGTTTATTCAGATGTCTTAGAAATTGATCTCTGTTGTTCGGGTTGTTTCCGGCGGTTGCGGTGGTTTCTGCGGCGGAGGAATCGGAAGAGAAATGAGAGGGATTATTGTTAGTACTATTGTTGGTGTAATTATTGTTAATCTTGTTGGTGTTATTGTTTTTATCATTGTGATTATGGTTAGTGTTATCCATGGAAGAAGGAATGAATAAAATGATTGATGAGAAAAGAAAACGGGTATGGAAAAGGAAGGATGTGTGAGTGTGTTAGAGAGAGAAAGAGGAGGAGAGAGAAAGAGGAAGAGTTGTTATCATTTGTAGAAGATTTTGGGGATTGAGAGGTCGGTGGCGTAGGGATAGCAGATGAGATGAGAGCGTTCTTATAGCCAAACGATTTCTCTATAATTTATACTTTTACCACTTACTAACACTACTCCTAATTGTCTATTACGCACTTCTACTCTAGATTAGGTTATTTTTTTTAGAAAACATGAATGTACTTGTATGTTAATTTAAATTTGAATTCATTTTTTCTATTACCTTGGTTTCAATTATTTGCAACAATTATATATTTTTTACTCACATTTTATGTCAAAACATTGCAAATAATTTGAAACGAAGGTAGTATTTTGTTATCTTTTGATTTTGGGATTGAATTTGTCTATGTATTCAGGTGTTATAGCCTTGAAGTTTCATTTACTCTTTTGTCTAACTAAATTGAGTTAATCGTGCTCAATTTTGATTGGTAATATGTTAAATATCATAATTTTATCGTGAACTCATTGGACTCTGACATGTGTATGATGATTACTCATTCGGTCTCTGTTTATAATTTATACTCCACCACTTACTGATACCACTGCTACTTGTATTATTCAGTATTAGCCATATGTGGTTATTACACGTTAGTGACTAGTCTACAAGACGTTATAGAATTTTTTATTTATTCTCTTGTAATTTTTTTTTATTTTGGGATTGAATTTTATTTGGGGCATTTAGACGTTGGATTTATGGAGTTTCCCTCATTAATTGTTCTATCTTAATAAATTTAGTTGATCATGCTCGCTTAAGATTTGATTAGGTGTCAGATGTCATAGCTTCATCATAGACTATATAAATGTGTATATGTATTTATTTGTAAATTTCATCTATAGATAGATTTTGTATGATATGGTAATTGGTTATGACATACGATTGTTCTTACGAAATTCATAGATGTGAAACCATGCAAAAATTATGATATGAGGGAGAATGATGGTAAGGAAGATGAACAATCTAAATTCCTTTGATTTTCATCCCTTTTACTCCATTTCTCACAAATTAGTTTTTACGCTTATCATGATTCATCGTTAGGTGTTAAGTTTGTGTTTGATTATCAATTATTCATTTATTGAAAAAGTAAATGTGAAAGGAGATAATGACTAACGAAGTAATATTTTATTGAAAAAGCAAATATAAAAGAAAATAGTGAAAATATTTTTAATTGATTATGAGAGTCTGAGAGATAGTGTGAAACCTTAATTTTTCATAGTCGAAAGGAAAGAAAAAAAAAAAAGGAAAGAGTAAAATAAACTAATTTAAAACAAATAAAAAAAATGAAAAATGTAAAATGTAAAAACTACTCCGTCGTATAAATTAAACCGTTCAATATTTGAAAGATGTTGAAGGAAAATGCAAGCTCACAATCTTACAATTCCCTCCCATTTCTTACACAATATCTTTCCTTTCACAACAGCATCCCAAAACAAGGTGTCCAAGCCCAAACCATCATGAACTTAGATTCCCTTCGCAAAAGCGAAAAGCCCAACAAGAAATAGCCTGACTTGTACTCTGCTCTATACACTTTTTACTCTAGTCTATATACTAGATAAGTAGATTTAATCGTTTGTTTTTTTTTTTGATTGGAAAATCGATATTATTTCTACTAATAGGAATAAGGAAAGAGCTCTGATTGAAAAATCTAAACTGCTACATGTATTATTCAAATGAATTTCTAGACGGTTCATGACTACAAATTAATAAGAAAAAAGAGTGCAATGCAATTTTGCTCTATGTCATTTAATTATCGAGTCAATCGGGAATAAACTCTATAAATAGACCTACTTTCTTATAACATATTAGCAATACTTAATAAAGTATTGGCTTACTTGATTAGACTTTTGCTTTATATCTTAAAGGTTTGGGGTTCTTTAATCATAAGTTGAATATCAAGCTTAACTTCAAAAACATGAATACTAATATAACATCAAAGAACTTGTAATAATAATAATAATAAATAAATAAATAAATAAAATCAAAGAACATGAAAACTACCATATATAGACTTCACATTGGGCCAAAAACTATAACATATTTGGCAATTGGATAAATTTTATTTCCCCAAATGTAGCATCTTGCATTGTTGTTGGAGAATGCAGTAGTGCAGCTACAAGAATTATCCTTTACGGCTCTACCTTAAATACTTTAGTAGTCAAGGATATACATTATGAAATCTAGCTAAGAGAACAAGACATGACAGAAGAAATGATATTTTGCACTATCCTGAAAAAAGTGAATCAAATTTGTCACTCTACAATGTGAAACACGAGTACACGACAATATATAGGAAGCATTATTTATAAAAGTTAAAAGATTTAAGCACCCCACAAGATTTAACTTTATATAAGTTTAACAAGATCTAACTGGATAAGGAATTCAAATATGATAAAATAAGGGTTAATATATAAGTTCAAATAAGATAAATTTTAAGACTAATAAAATAAAATAGGTGAAATTAAGTTGAAGAAAACACTGCATTAATACTCACTTTATAACAATTTTTAAACTACAATTATAAAGTGAAGAAAATAAGGCCATAATCATAAGTTTAGATGTATCAAATACAACAAAAGAGAATGCAACATTAACTTTGGTATAGTTTTGATCAATGGCGGATCTTGAAACCTTTTCTTTCAGGGGGCCACTACTTGAATAAGCTCATTTATCGATGGGAAAATACCGATGGCCTATAAAATCCATCGGTAAAAATGAAATTTACCGATGGTTTATTCAAGCCATCAGTATTTTGAGAAATACCGATGGCCTAGCTATCGGTATATTTTTTCCGATAGCTTTTGTCCATCGGAAAATTATTTTTAAAAAAAGAAAATTTAATTTTTTTTTACCGATGGTTAAAAGCCATTGGTATTTTTTTTAAAAAAAATTAAAAGAAAAATCGGATTTTTTATTTATTCTAAACCTAAGAAGCAGCCCTAATTCCCCCTCATCCGCCTCTCTTCTCTCTCCTCTCTCTTATCTCCTCCTCACGCCTATCTCCTCCCCTTCTCCTCTCTCTTCTCTCATTCTCCCCTCCTACGTTTCTCCTCTCCTCCCTCCTTCTCTTCTCCTTTCACTGCTCTCCATCTCCTCTCTCCTATTTTAGCACTCTTTCTCTCACCCCTCTTCTGTCTCATCAAAACCACCACACCACCATAACTAGAGGTGGGCATGGGCCGTGCCGGCCCGTGGGCGTCACGAGCACGACACGGTGGTGGCACGGCCCAGCACGGTGGCCCAGCAGTGGGCCGTGTCGTGAACCAAATTTTGATAAATCGGCACGAGCACGATGGGCGGCACAGTCGTCTGGCCCGCAGGCCGGCCCGCGGCACGCCCTGGCACGACCTAGAACGGCACGCGGCCCGCCAGGCACGGCCCGTGCATAACGGCTACTTTCCGGGGTTCTGAAGCTTCCAACAACCATAAATTACTATATTGTAACAGTCATATTAACGGCTATATTCCAACAACCACTCTAACGGCTAATTCATCATTTTTCCTATAAATACTTCACTTCTTCCTCCATTTTTTCCACAATTCATCAACTCATCTATTCTCAAATCTCTTATTCTCTAATTCTCTTATTCTCTACTTCTCCAAAAAAAAAAAAAAACACATATAATCTTTAGTTCTCTAATTCTCTCAATTATAAAAATTTTAAAAAAATTATAAGTTCAGGAAATTAATTAGCGGAAAGCAATCGAAGCGTCGTTGTAAGATCTAACTCAACGTTATTGTTATTGTTATTGTTGTTGTTGTTGTTGTTGTTGTTGTTGTTGTTGTTGTTGTTGTTGTTGTTGTTATTATTATTATTATTATTATTGTTATATATTAATTTATTTTATTGTTATAATTATTGTTCTTGTCACTATTATTATTGTTATTGTTATTATTATTATTGTTGTTATTATTATTATTATTTGTATTATTATTATTGTTATTATTATTTGTATTATTCACTACTAGAAATAGGTCGATTTCCGACGGACAGTTTCCTACAGACACGTATTTCCGTCGGAAAAATCAAAAATTCTGACGAAATATAAATCCGTCGGAATATATGGACTTTCCGACGGAATATTCCGTCGGAAAGCCCATATATTACGACGGATTTATATTTCGTCGGAAAAGGTCATTTTCGACGGAAAATTCCGTCGGAATATAACTTAAAAAAAAAGAAAAAAAAAATGAAATTTCTTTAACAAACCCCAACCCTAATCCTTTTCTCTCTCCCGTGCCCCTTTTCTTTTTTCCCTCCTTTTTCTCTCCTGCCCTTCTTTCCTCTCCTACGGCCCTCCTCTATTCTCTTTCTCTCACCCGCGCCCCTCCTTCTTTCCTCTCTTCCTCTGTTTTCTTCTCCTTCTTTACTCTCTTCTTGTCCGCTTCTTTCTTTTCCTTCTTTCCTCTATATTCTTTTCCTTCTTTCTTCTCTTCTCTGTCTGCCATCATTCACCTACACCATCACCAACCACCACCACCAACAACAACGGAGACCATCACCAACACCATCAGCAACAACCAACAACAACAACAACGGAGACCACAACAACAACAACCAACATCAACCGCAACAACAACAAAGCCAACAACCACCGTCGCGAGCCATCCAGTCTAAAGGTTTTTGTTTTGTAGATCTTGTAATTTAGGTTAGAGTGTAGATCTAGTTAATTTTGTATGTAGTTGTAATGTTAGTTTATAAATTTTATTAGACAATTGTATATTTATATATTTCTTTTAATTTTCGTTTTTTTAAAATTTTTTTAATGAAATTCTGATTATTATGTAGATCTACTGGTTTTGATTTTTTTTGTGTGGTATTTTTTTATTATGTTGTGTTAATTTTCGGTTTTTTGGGGCTTGTCGTTTTTTAGGTTGATTTTCCTTGTTTTTGGGTTAATTTTTGTTTTTAGGGTTTAGGGTTGGAATGGTGGTGGTGTGTAGTGGTGTCTGTGGTGGGGGCTGGTGTGAGTTTGGTGCTGGGTAAGTTAATGGTTGGGGTGGTTTCGGTTTGGTATGGGTGGGGTGGTGGGTCTGTTGGTGGTGGGTGAATTGCGGTGTTGGTAGTGTTTTGGTGATAAGGGTTGGGATTTGGTTTAGGTGGGGGTTTTGGTG